AGATCAGCATAGATTAACTCCAAGGTTAACCAACAATCAAATAAGCAATTCCCCAACCAAGAATTTGCCAAAGAACCATCAGTAAACAGCCCAACCAAAAAATCCCTAAAACCAATCCCACCAACACAGACAGACAAGACACCAGAACATAAACTGACAGCAAACAGCACTTCCTACTAGCACTGATGACGTTACCTAGTTAGGGTAATGAAACGACTTCAAGAAAGCAAGCCAGCTCAAAGACCACCAAAGACCCTGCTCTATTAGCTCTCAAATATGCCCTCCAATATGAAGACATATGTAGTGCTCTCTGGTGTTCTCTGAGGTTGGTTGTTTGCTTGCAGTTGTTTCATTACCCAACTAGATAACATTAGCAGTACAAGTACAGGCAGCAAACCTCACACCCTTTCATACTGATGCTGTTACCTAGTTCAGTAATTAATCAATGATCAGGAATTCAAATTTATTACACTCTTCTAGATGGGAGCTCTGATACCCTGAGCCAAGGAAGCATTTTTCACTGTCATTTTAAAGGCTTGCAGGACTCAGGCCAACTATATGTCTGCGATAGATCATTCTAGAGCAGGGATGCCCAACCTTTCGGACGTCAGGGACCATTAAATTCATAATTTTAAATCCCACGGATCACTAATATGATCTGCCTAATGACTGGGTGGGTGGGCGTGGCTAGGTGGTCATGTGACTGGTGGGCATGGTCAACTCAATGTCACTCATATTGAGGAGCGCCTCGCTCGCCTCTATTTGCCCCTCCCTTCGCATCCACTCTTCGCCTTCCCAGCCGGGCTCCTTAGGGCCCCAACAGGAAGCAGTTGTTGGAGCTAAGCAGCCACCACAAGAAAAAGTTGGCAAAACAGCTCAGTTCAAATTGGATCTGACTGAGAAGGAGGCTCAGCAGAAGCACCTCATTGAGGACTACGAGCATAGGCTTTCCAAGCAGAGAGAAGACCTGCAGGAGTGCAAGGCTAGGTACCGGCACCTGGAGGCCCATTTTTTTTTTTTTTTAAATTTGATTTATATGCCGCCTTTCTCCGGAGACTCAGGGCGGCTTACAATGTGCTAAGCAATAGCCTTCATTCTTTTGTATATTTAAGTCAGCTTATTGCCCCCACAACTGGGTCCTCAATTTACCTACCTTAGAAAGGATGGAAGGCTGAGTCAACCTTGAGCCTGGCGAGATTCGAACCTGCAGTAATTGCAGGCAGCTGGTCTTAATAACCAGCTTAATAACAGGGTGCCTTAGACCACTGTACTACCAAGGCTGAGATAGTCAGCCAGTTCTAGGCCATGAGGCAGTCCCACTGAAATGAGGCCCTCCGGCTCTTCTCCACCAGTGGCACTTCCATCCAGCCTTCACCCAAAGCCCCACACCAGGAGGCGAAAGCAGACCGCAAGTCAGAATTTTTCCCCCCTCCGACCCACACAAAAAGATCCCAAAACGGGAGACTCCCTGCAGCAACACAAACATTCCTTGCACTTATCTGTCCCAGGGGCCATAGTTTGAGGACCCCTGATATAGTGCAATATAAAAAATGCAAATAATTTTTCTGCGGACCACCAAAATTTTCTTGCGGACCACCAGTTGGTGACCGCTGTTCTAGAGAACAAGTGCCTCCGTAGAAAAGGCATAACTCCCAGGTCCCATAAGATTACTGTATAGAAAACATACCAACAGAAGAAGAATTGATTTAAAAAAAATCCTAGAATGTGTCGAGATGGACAAATTAACAAAAGAGCTCAAAGAAAAGGAAGATATGGAATATTATATAATCTGAAATAAATGGTATAAGTGGCTAGAGACTAGAAATAATGGATAATAAAAATAAGAGCATGTAATAAGGAAAATACTGGAATGTGCTGAAATGAACAAACTGACGTTAGAAATTAATGATAGAGAGGAAACTGATTACTACAGTGTTTGGGATATGTGGTATGAGTGGCTGAAGAAAAGAAAAGGGAAGTGAAGCTCGAGAGAGCTAAAAGTTTAAATGGATAATCCAAAATGAGTATTTGGATATGAGCCATACTACCGGTAGTAGGGAATATAAGGGAGCAAAGATGCAATTTTACGCAAATAAGATGTAATACTAAATATTAAGGATTACAAAAGTAAGAAATCCTACGGGCAGTATCTCTAAACTAAGATAATGAATTAATAATATGTAAATAACAATGTAAATATTATGAAGGTGTATCTGCATATGTATTAACACCATGAAACCGGAATGATGTAATTGTACTATAATTTTTAAACAATAAAAATGTTTTTGGAACTCCAAAAAAAAAAAAAAATTTGAAAATGTATTTGAAAATGGAAAGAACAAATATGATAATGTATAGAATGCATAAAATCAATATGATTGTTAAGAAGTATAATGTAATTAAAAGAGAAAGGGACAAGAAGAAAATGAAATAGTATAAAGGGAATCGGGGGAGAATGTAAATATTAGAAGATGACCATCATGAAATAGCTGTAAAAAGAGAGAGAAAGTGAGAGAGAGAGAGAGAGAGAGAGAGAGAGAGAGAGAGAGAGAGAGAGAGAGAAAGTGTGTGTGTGTGTGTGTGTGTGTTTTGTGTTTGGTCTTTTCATATTGTGTTATAATAAAAATAATTTTTTTAAAAGAAAAGATTATTGTATAGAAGCCTGGCCCTCTGGTATAGGTAGTCCTTGACTTGTTTTGTGACCATTTAAAGTTACAACAATACTGAAAAAAAGCAACCAATTATTGGTTTCCAAACTTAGGACAGTTGCAGCATCTCTATGGTCATGTGATCAAAATTCGGGCTCTTGACCAGGGGTGTCAAACTCAAGGCCTGCCCGTGGGGTGTTTAGATCTGGCCACGGGGCCATCCTGAAAACAGCCCAACGTGCCTCTGCCAACAAAAATGGAGCTTTGGAGGCCGTTTCTGCTGGCAGAGTGTGCTGGTCACCACAGGCGCCCCCAACATAAGTGATGTCAAGCTGGCCACTCCCCTCGCGGGCCCCCCGAGGCCAAACACAACCTTGATGTGACCCTCAATGAAATCAAGTTTGACACCCCTGCTCTTGACAATGATTGTTGCACTCTCCCAGAATCATATGATCACCATTTGCAACCTTCCAACTGGCTTCCGACAAGCAAGGTCAATGGGGGAAGCCAAATTCGCTTAACAAAAGCACGATTCACTTAAAAACTACAGTGATTCACTTAAAAAAAATTGAGTGCAACTTGATTAACAGCTGTCTTGATAAGCCACGGAAATTTTGGGCTCAAGAAGCTCCCTTTGCAAATGACAGTCCTAGGACTCTGGGACACTGCAAGCATTATAAAATACACACCAGTGGCCAAGCACCCAGAGTTTGATCACATGACTGTGGGGATGCTGTGGGGATTCATAAGTGTGAAAACTGGTCATAAATCACATATTTTTCAGTGCTGTTATAATTCTGAATGATCATAAAATGAATGGTTGTGAGTCAAAGACACACTTTACATGGCAGCTTCTCACTGCCTTCATTAATATCCCAGAGTCTACAGTTGGAGAAGGGTATCAGTGATGGCCAAAGCCATGAGCAAGGTGTCTTCAAGATCTGCCTGGTATGAATCCTGCTGCTGTGACTCGTTAAAGTAGCGCATTGAAAGAATATCCCTTGTGCTAAATTCTCCAGAACAGATGACTAAATCCTAAGAAATGAATCTCTTCCTGCTGTCCTGTTGTGATGGAGTAAAACAATATCCCAAGTCATGGAACCTGCCTTTTCAAAACTGACTCTAGCTTCAAATCTTCCATAATGGAAATTCTGGGCTTGCTTTCTTTCCTTCTTTCTTTCTTCCTTCCTTTCTTCCTTCCTTCCTTATTTATTTTTCTTTCCTTCCTTCCTTCCCTCCCTCCCTCCTTCTTTCCTTCCTACCTACCTACCTTCCTATCTTCCTTCCCTCTTTCTTTCTTATTTATTTTTCTTTCTTTCCTTCTCTCCCTCCTCCTTCCTTCTTTCCTTCCTTCCTTCCTACCTTCCTTCTCTCTTTCTTTCTTATTTATTTATTTTTCTTTCCTTCTTTCCTTCCTTCCCTCTTTCTTCCTTATTTATTTTTCTTTCCTTTCTTCCTTTCTTCCCTCCCTCATTCCTTCCCTCTTTCTTTCTTTTCTTTCTTTCATTCATTCATTCATTCATTCATTCATAGAAATAGTGTTGGAAATGCCACCAGATACCTGGGTCTTATTATCATACGTGGTGGACATGTGTAGAAGCAAAGAAAAAAATAGACAAAAATACATACATGGCTAGAAAAGATGACAAAGCAGCACATTGATTTAAAACCAGAAATATTTTCGTTAGGGATTTTACCTGAAATGTATAGTAAAGGGAATGCATATTTAATTATTTATCTATTAACTGCAGCTACAATTGTATTTGCACAAAACTGGAAAAGTGAAGCGATCCCAACTGACGAGAACGTGATTAGGAAAATATTAGAATGTGCAGAAATGAAAAGATTAATGCTTGCAATTAACGAGAAGGAACAAACTGAATATTATATGATATGGGAATTATTTTATCGATGATTAGAGAATAAAAATGGAAGTTAGAAACAAAAGTAGGAGATTAGGGAAATGTAGAAAATGTGTTAAGATAGAGATGTAAACAATATGATGATTGTTATTATTATGACTATTACGATTATTATGTTTAATATTATTATTATATTCTTAGAAGATATGTAAAGAGGGGAAAATGAACATATTTATTATGCTCAATATTACTACTGTAAGATCAGAGAATTATTATCAATGTAATGAATACTGTTGAAAATTTTGATGGTTATTGCACAAAGATATTTGTACCCAGACGATACGCTGTTGAATGGAAAATGGAATGTTTATATTAAAAAAAGAAAATATCATATATACATAAAAAGAAAAGAAATAATGGCTCTTTCAGTCAGGGTATAATTGTTTAATTCCTCATCTGATTGGAGACTCTTTCCTATTCCTTCTTCCAGAACTTTTTGATCTTGAAGTAAATGCCAGAGTGCAGAAGACAGTTGCAGAACGACAGATGCCCAAGCGAGAATATCTTGATATCAAGATTCAGGATTACAGTAAATTACTCTGATTATTTTCATTGTTGAATTTAAAGGTTTATAATCTCGCCTTTTAATTTAGAAAATCTCATATTCTAGTGGGGCAGCTTTAAAAAGAAAGAAATGGATAAAAGCATAATGCCACTTTAAAAAAATCCCCAAAATAGAAGTTTAAATCAATTAAGATGGGTAGCAGCCTCCAATACAAAAGCAGAATGTATCCATAGCTATAATATAAGAGCATCAATAGAAATCTGGCAACTCAATATTTATTTGCTTGTTTGTTTATATTCTGCCGTTATTATTTTTATAAATAATTCAAGGGCAGGTCTAAAATTCACAGTCTCCTAGTGATTGGCCCAAAGTCACCAACCGGTTTTCATATCTAAGGCAGAACTGGAACTCACAGTCTCCTGGTGATTGGCCCAAAGTCACCCAACCAGCTTTCATGTCTGAAACAGGACTAGAACTCCTGGTTTCTAGCTTGCTGCTTTAACTACTAACTAGACCAAACTTGCTCTCACAAGACACACCAATGTGTGTTTTGATTCCATGCAATGTGTTAATCAGCCTCCCAGGCTTAATGCTCTTATTACTTGCCAAGAATGTCTCCAGAGAAATCAAAAAAGTTGAGTGTGATCAAACGATTTGTCAAAGTCTCACCTGCTCCCCCTTTTTATTTTTTAGTACTGTGTGAAAATGAATGGGGTGTCCTGCACACAGAGTTGTGGCCACCCACTTCTGTTTTTCTGAGCACTCCTGCAGACACGCCTGTTATTGTACTGCTTCCATAATGGGCAGAGTAAATATTTGCCCTCCTGCTGTCCATCTGCCTTGCCTTCTTTGTTTCTATCTTCCCATTCCCTCGGTAGGCTGAAAAGGTCTCCTTGGTAGAGATATTATTCATTAGTTAAGAAATGGAGGTGTCAGCAGAACCAAAAACTCTTGTCATAATAATGAAAATGGCCATCATCTCACAAAATTCTCCCTTTTTCTACACATGTGCGACATCAGAGCATAGTTACAGAAGCCCCAGAGTTTTTGTGATTTGCTTTCTTCATTGGCCAACTCTACCACCAAGATACCTTGGCTAACAGTCATTCGACCAAAGGATCTATCCAGTTAATAGAAGAAACATGTGTGCTTGAGAACCAATCTATCATTGCCCGACTGCAATTCCCATTTATATTTCATTTGGCACATTTTTCTACTTTCAGATTTCTGACAAACCCACTAAAAATCACATTGGAATAAATTAGAATAGGTTTATAAGAGTTCAAAGAAATATGTTTCCCGGGCAAAACCCTTGCAATTACTGAAGTTCCTCTTGATTTAGGACCAGTTACTTAGTGACTGTTAGAAGTTATGAAGGACTTGCCAAAAGGGACTTACAACTCAGTTCTGAAATTCTAGAATTGCCACCCTTTGTGGTGTCGTGACCAGCAGTGGGATTCAAGTAATTTAACAACCGGTTCTCTGCCCTAATGATTTCTTCCAACAACCAGTTCGCCAAACTGCTCAGAAAGTTAACAACCGGTTCTCCCGAAGTGGTGCGAACTGGCTGAATCCCACCAGTGGTCGTGACCCTATTTTAGGTCCTCGGAATCAGGCCCGTATTTAGTGACATTTCTAGCACCCCATGATCACAGTAAGATGGTTTGTGATGTTTTTGCCTTCTTGCATCCCAGAGGCATTTTACAAAACCATAATTCTATTCCATGCCTTTCCATCATTGATAATCCAATAACATTGCGATTGAATCATAATTCAATTCAGATCAATTCAGTCACATTTGGATTAAATCGATAATTGTGATTTTTTTTTTTTTAAAGAATAACAGAGTTGGAAGGGACCTTGGTGATCTTGAAGCCCAAGCAGGAGACTCTATACCATTCTGGGCAAATGGTTGTCCAATCTCTTCTTAAAAACCTCCGGTGTTGAAGCACCCACAACTTCTAGAGGCAAACTGTTTCACTGATAAATTGTTCTCACTGTCAGGAAATTTCTCCTTAGACCCAAGTTGCTTTTCTCCTTGATTAGTTTCCATCCATGGATTCTTGTCCTGCCTTTAGGTGCTTTGGAGAATAGATTGATCTCTCTTCTTCTTTGTGGCAGCCTCTTAGATGTTGAAACACTGTTATCTTATCACCCCTAGTCTTTCTTTTCACTAGACTAGACACATTCAATTCCTACAATCGTTCTTCATATGTTTTATCATCCAGCCTTCTTTGTCACTCTTTTCTGCACTCTTTCCAGAGTCTCAACATCTTTTTAATATTGTGGTGACCAGAACTGGATGCAGTATTCCAAATGTGGTCTCACTAAGGCTTTGAAAAAGCAGTACTGGAACTTCATGTGATCTCGATTCTGTTCCTCTGTTAATGCAGCCTTAGGATTGCATTGACTTTTTTGGCTGCTGCCGCACACTGCTGGCTCATATCTAAGTGATTGCCCACTAGGACTCCAAGAATTGTCCACAAAAAATCCAAAAACAAGATGCATTGGATAAAATTCAACACACATAACGGGTATCATAATTTAACTCTTCACCGTTAGTATTTGCTAATGAGAAAACCCACAAATATGAAGTGGTAATTATAGTGCACAATTCCTTCTTTGTGATCCTAAAAGATTTCCAAGAGTAGCTCTTGATGTTTAATTCTCTATATTCTGCCTTCCCAAGGGATCTCCACATGAATCATAAGTACAAACCCATTCTCTATTACAAGTCTCATACAACAATAAATTAGACCAAATGAAATAAAAGGCTTACCACTAAAACTCATTTGGCTGTTTACTGCCCTTTAAATGCCACTAATTCGAAATTTAATTGCCATCCTTTTGGTAAATTGGCCCAGCAGCTCACATTTTAAAAACCAAATAAAAGTAGGATAGGCTTGGGAGCAATCTGTTTATGTTTCTGCCAATATAGATTTAAGAAAAAGCACACTTAGCTATTACTTCAGGATATATGTTTCCATAAAGGTAACAATTTTCTCTTCTTAATTCATCCAATTTATATCATTTCAAGGGGCAAAGGAGGTGACAGTCCAGGCCCTGGAGTTTAAAATGCCCTTGAAGAAAGCCTAATCTTAAATCCCTAAAAAAGAACAATTTTATTCCAATTTAGAAAAGAGGATTTGCATTTTACTTTGAGTTTCTCCTTCCTTTGCTCTCCTTGCAAACATTGCTTGTCTTTCCTCCACCTGCTGAGAAGGGGGAAAAACACATATCAGCACACCCTAATTGCATGTTTGATTCATGACCAAGTGCCTTGGAGGACCACGGTGTTAGATGTGTCGCCTTTTGTGTAGCAGTGCCAATTTTCTTTCCAAAAGAATCGGTTCTGCTAGGGTGTTATTTGCAGAGCCATTCTCTTTAATGGCATTTTGTTCCCACCAAAAAGGACCCGAGTGTACTAAAAGGGAAAGAAATAAAAGGTTGTTGGTTGTAATGACAGCCTTCCTGTGCTTAAATGCTCCTCTCCTCCTTTCTTCTCTTTTCTTCTGTTTGCAGAATTGCCGCTGCAAATTTTAAAGCCAGCCGTTTTCATGGAAAACACACACTACCCTTTGCTCCTCATTGTGTGAGTAATGTTAACAATGGTATAATTTCCCAGTTATAGCCAGGAATGCCAGCCAAGTTGAGAAGAGGGATATTTGAGAAGGGTGGAAATGTAGCAGATAGGGAGATGGCTCCTAGAAAGAATACTTATTTTAATTATTTCCTGCCTTTATATTATTTTTTTCAAATAAATACCTTAAGGAGATGAGCATGCCTTATAATCCTGCCTCTTCTTGTTTTTCCCCACAACAACAATGCTGAAGGCGGGTTGGGCTGGGGGGGGGGGGACTAGCCTAAATTAACCCAGCTGGCTATCATGGCTCAGGCAGGACTAGAAGTCACAATCCCTTGGTTTCTAGCCCAGTGCCTTCCCCTGTAGATTAAACTGAGGTTTCTAAATGATATATTTTAAGCCAAGGCAAAAAAAAAAAACAAAAAAAAAACCCCAAGGATGCCCCACAACAGAATTCAATATGCTTGTTTTGGGTTGAGAGTGTTATGTTCCTAATGTTGTTTCTTTACTTAGCATGATAATGGAATGGAATGGAATGGAATGGAATGGAATGAATGGAATGGAATGGAATAGAATGGAATAGAATAGAATAGAATAGAATAGAATAGAATAGAATAGAATAGAATAGAATAGAATAGAATAGAATAGAATAGAAATAGAATAGAATAGAATAGAATTCTTTATTGGCCAAGTTTGATTGGGCACACAAGGAATTTGTCTTTGGTGTATATGCTCTCAGTGTACATAAAAAGACAAGATACACTTGTCAAGAATCATAAGATACAACACTTAATGATAGTCATACGGTACAATAAGCAATCAAATCATACTAGGAAACAATCAATATCAATATAACTTGCAAGGATGCAAGCAAGAAGGTTGCAGTCATGCAGTCACAAGTGGGAGGAGATGGGTGGTGGGAACGATGAGAAGACCAATAGTAATGCAGCCTAATGTGAATAGTTTGACAGTGTTGAGGGAATTATTTGTATAGCAGAGTGATAGCATTCGGGGGGGAAACTGTACAGATACATGCATGTTTGGACACAGTTAACATGCATGAAGTTTGGCCACGCTAGCCAGGGAACCTGGAGGGCAAAAGGAGGTTTCCTGGTGCCTAAAGCAAAAAAATTTGTCCCTTCGGCTAGACAGGTATGTCTTCTCCTTTTTAAAGACCCTCAGGATTTTTTATGTGAACTCTCTCTCTTTCTTTGCTTATAGCTGAACCAAATATGATCAGCATAGATTCTAGAGACTGTCAGGGTTTCTGGGAGGGATTGGTGGATAAAGGAAAAACGAGGATGATGCCTGCAATCACACAATCAAAGGCCCACAATAGTCTTCAACTTATGACTAGTCACTCAGCAATTGTTCGAAGTTTCAACGGACCTACTGGAAAAACACTAACAGCCATGTGCAGCTTCCCACAGTCATATGACTGTTAATGGTTTTGGTGAAAACTGGTATCAACTTCCAGTTTTTCGGCAAAATCATTCCCACTGTAAACTATTGGTTTGCTTAACAACCACAATCTTTGCATAATGACCGCCACAAAAACAGTCGTAAAATCAGATTGGTCACGTTATGATTGTCAAAACTTACAAGGACTGAGGTTATTGTACAAGTATTTGACAATGCAAAGGGCTCAATGCAATTTTGGAATACAAACCGGATACCAATGGTATCTACTATAATGATGGTTTAATTGCAAGCCCCTCAGTGCAATTGAAAGAAGTATTTTAAATTAATCTACAGTCCTCAAGAGAGAAGCTGGGTTTTTTTTTTCTTTATGGAAATTAACAAGGTTAAGAATCTCTTGAGGAAACAGAGCTTATATTTATCTAATATGCATTCCAAAGAAGAAAAAAAGATTTTATCCTGTGAGGGAAAGCCAAAGGGAGTGCCTTAAGCTTAATAAATTAACTGAGGTTAGGATGAATTTTTATTGGTCTGACATGTGTAATTGGAGGGAAAAAATTTAATACATGGTTCTACGCTTACAAAGTGGGTTTGAAAATGCATTGTTCCTTTTTCCTTTTCTTTTTTTCTCTAGCGTATAATGTTGGTATAGTTCTTAAAGTTTGTAAAAGATTAGCGTAAATGAATTTGAAGATGCATATAGCAATAGCGCTTAGACTTATATACCGCTTCAGAGTGCTTTACAGCTCTCTCTAAGCGGTTTACAGAATCAGCCTATTGCCCCCAAACAATCTGGATCCTCATTTTACCCACCTCGAAAGGATGGAAGGCTGAGTCAACCTTGAGCCTGGTGAGATTTGAACTGCCAAATTGCAGGCAGCCAGGAGCAATAGTGGGTTGCTACCGGTTCGCCCCAGATTGGGCGAACCAGTAGTGGTGGCGGGAGGTTCCGCTCACCTGCCCGGACACTTCTGTGCATGCGTGCCCACGAGCAAACCGGTAGCGGCAACTTTTGAAACCCGGCCCCGGCCAGGAGTCAGCAGAGTTAGTTGCAGTACTGCACTCTAACCACTGTGCCACCGTGGCTCATATATGTTAAAAGAAAGCTTAAAGAGCTGTATTAGAATTATTTAGGCACCTTAAAAGATGGGCTTATTACAGTCATAATTCAAGCACTTCCTGTACCTGCAGGTTGCATGTAAATAAGGAGCAGAGGTTTGATGCCATAATGCCATCTTGACTTTTTAAAATCCCATTGCCAAGTTCGATGCCCTTGTGACCTATGTCTGCTAGTTTTAAAAGATCAATAGGGTCTTGACACATAATCTAACACGAAGAATGTCAGGGTTCCAAGTAACACCCCCAACGAAAGAAGACTCCGAGGCTTGAGTTTCCTCAAAGTTCCACTTTATTAGAGATGTCGTACTGGCACATCTGGGCACATCCCACCCAAAGGAAAGTCAAAATCCCTTCCCCTGTACCCACATGTCCACCACATGATCCAATCAATCCACCTTCCCAACTGGAGATGTCTCCCAGTCACACCACTCCAGGTGCAGGCTGAATGTCCTTGACTCCCAGAGAAAAGAATGTTGTTATGGCTAGATATCTCTACAACTCCTTGCAATCCCCCCTCCCAATTTCCCACAGCACCAAGTGTGGCAGCCCTGAAGATCCAAAGAAAAAGTTGGCCTCCAAGGCTGTCAAAGAGTTTACCATAACATAGTCAATGAACTTCCCACTTTAAACTTCTTGATGAGGAGAGGATCCTATTTTAATCTCCCCTACTTTAAAATCCCTCTTGGCAAATGATTGTGGCTTTCGTATATATAATTTCCTGGTGAGTTGCCTAGCAATTCCTAGAAAAATCTTGGTGGGCAGGCAGGTTTCAAAATAAAAATCCACGATTCCCATTTTATTTTTCTTGAAAGCAAAGAGAAAACAACTATATTGCTATAATATGTTGGATGCCAAAAGAAGGGGGGTGGAATTCACCTCTGCTATGCGAGCTGCATTGGGTGCCACTTTGCTTCCAGGTCCAATTCAAGGTGTTGGTTGTGATCTATACAGCCTTACTTGGCATGGGCAAGGCTACCTAAAAAAATGGCTTTGTCCCATTACACCGACCAGTCCCATCTGGGAAGATGCGTTGAAGACCCTGTCAAATAAAAAACTCTTAACTGGCGAGAATATAGAGGTGAGGTGGGGTTCCAGTCTCTTGACCTTTGGGAAAGAAGTCAACACATGGGCTCTCAAAGGAGCATGCAGCTGTGGGGTTGGTTGGTGGGGTGGGGTATAGAATAGAATAGAATAGAATAGAATAGAATAGAATAGAATAGAATTTTTTATTGGCCAAGTGTGATTGGACACAGAAGGAATTTGTCTTTAGTGCATATGCTCTCATATAAGAACATAAAAGAAAAGATACGTTCATCAAGAATCATAAGGTACAACACTTAATGATAGTCATAGGGTACAAATAAGCAATCGGGAAATAATATCAATATAAATCATAAGGATACAAGCAACAAAGTTACAGTCATACAATCATAAGTGGAAGGAGATGGGTGATGGGAACGATGGGAAGATTAATAGTAATGCAGACTTAGTAAATAGTTTGACAGTGTTGAGGGAATTATTTGTTTAGCAGAGTGATGACAAGAGCCTTGGTGGCGCAGCAGACTAAAGTGCTGTTAAGTAGCACCAGCTGCCTACAATTACTGCAAGTTCGAATCTCACCAGGCTCAAAGTTGACTCAGCCTTCCATCCTTTCGAGGTAGGTAAAATGAGGACCCGGATTGTGGGGGCAATAAGCTGACTTTGTATAAAAAAGAATACCGCTTAGGGGGGGCCGAAAGCCCTACTAAGCAGGTATATACAAAAGTATGAAGGCTATTGCTTAACACATTATAAGCCACCCTGAGTCTCCGGAGAAGGGTGGCATATAAATCGAACCAATACATAAATATTTGGGAAAAAACTGTTCTTGGGTCTAGTTGTTCTGGTGTGCAGTGCTCTATAGCGTCGTTTTAAGGGTAGGAGTTGAAACAGTTTATGTCCAGGATGTGAGAGGTCTGTAAATATTTTCACGGCCCTCTTTTTGACTCGTGCAGTATACAGGTCCTCAATGGAAGGCAGGTTGGTAGCCATTGTTTTTTTCTGCAGTTCTAATTATCAGTTGAAGTCTGTGTCTGTCTTGTTGGGTTGTGGAACCAAACCAGAAAGTTATAGAGGTGCAGATGACAGACTCAATAATTCCTCTGTAGAAGTGGATCAGCAGCTCCTTGGGCAGTTTGAACTTTCTGAGTTGGCGCAAAAAGAACATTCTTTGTTGAGCTTTTTTGATGACGTTTTTGATGTTAGCTGTCCATTTTAGATCTTGTGATATGGTAGAACCTAGAAATTTGAAGGTCTCTACTGTTGATACTGTGTTGTCTAGTATTGTAAGAGGTGGTAGTATGGAAAGGTCAGAATATAAAAACAACATGTAAAAATTAAAATGTTAGAATTAAAATTTCAGAATTGTTTTTTTTAATGGGAGGCAAGAATAATTAAGCCCTGTTAAAAATCAATTGTAAAGGTGAAGGGAG